TATCTATATAAATATAAATGATTATGTACACACAAATAAATACACGTAATATATGATTTTAATCCAAAAGACTATACATAATCTATATTTGGGATGTTTCTCTAGAACAAATTCCAAAATACATATGAAATAGAGTTAACAACAAGCTTTAATCTCCATCATATCAAGGAGCATTTGATCGTATGTTAACACGTGTAATTATCATCATTATTGGTAGAAAAACCCACAGACCAGGTGGATTCCGAAACTGTAGTCTTATTTTCAGTAAATCTAGTTTTTACATTGCGGTTTTATCTGCTATAGTATCAACACGGTATAGTGTTTTCATCATTCAACATCAATATTATTCTTATTGTTTTGAAAATAATAATGAGAGTTATGATAATAATAACAATAATAACAACAATAATAATAACAGTGGTGATTATGATAATGATAATAATAATGATAATAATGAAAATAATAATGGTAATGATAATGATAATCATTATAATGATACTTTTGCTACTACTAATGTTGACAGTAATGATAATAATAATAATGATAATAATAATGATAATAATAATGATAATAATTATAATAATAATGCTAACAATAATAATAATAATGATAATAATTATAATAATAATGCTAACAATAATAATAATAATAATAATAATGATAATAATAATGATAATAATAATGATAATAATAATAATGATAATAATAATAATGATAATAATAATAATGATAATAATTATAATAATAATGCTAATAATAATAATAATAATAATAATGATAATAATAATAATAATAACAATAATAATAATAATAACAATAATAATAATAATAATAATAATAATAATAATGATAATAATAATAATGATAATAATAATAATGATAATAATAATAATGATAATAATAATAATGATAATATTGATAATGATACTTTTGCTACTACTAATGTTGACAGTAATGATAATAATAATAATGATAATAATAATGATAATAATAATAATAATGATAATAATAATGATAATAATAATAATAATAATGATAATAATTATAATAATAATGCTAACAATAATAATAATAATAATAATAATGATAATAATAATAATGATAATAATTATAATAATAATGCTAACAATAATAATAATAATAATGATAATAATAATGATAATAGTAATAATAATAACAATAATAATAATAATGATAATAATAATAATAATAATAATAACAATAATAATAATAATGATAATAATAATAATGATAATAATAATGATAATAATAATGATAATAGTAATAATAATGAATAATAATAATAATGATAATAATAATAATAATAATAACAATAATAATAATAATAATGATAATAATGATAATAATAATAACAATAATAATAATAATAATAATAATAATAATGATAATAGTGATAATGATACTTTTGCTGCTACTAATGTTGATAATGACAAAATAATTATAGTAACAATGATAAGGATAATAACAATAATGATAATAATTATAATAATAATGCTAACAATAATAATAATAATAATAACAATAATAATAGTGATAATAATCAGCATTATTCTCATCATCACCAGCATGATAATAATAGTGATAATGATAGTGAATTTGATGAGTAATGAGGCTAATATTATCGCGGATGATGATACTAATGATAATAATAATAATGATAATATTGATAATGATACTTTTGCTACTACTAATGTTGACAGTAATGATAATAATAATAATGATAATAGTAATAATAATAACAATAATTATCTTGATAATGATGATAGTTATGATGGTAATAATAACAATTATAATCATGATAATGTTAGTAGTAATAATAATAGTAATAAATGTGATAATAATTTTAGTAATAATAATAATTGTTGAATTAACAATTAGCATGACTGAATCTATTGACGAACCCTCTCTTTCCCCAGGTAGGGCAGGCGAGTGACCTTGACCTCGTCCCAGCAAAGGATGTGGACCACTATATAAACGGCTGAGACACTTCCTCGCCATCAGACAACAGCCATGTCTCTCAAGGTACGCACGCTTTTCTTAGCTCGCCTGTGTATCTACGAGAGAGAAAAAATATTTAAAACAACGTGTATGATAATTATTGCTGACATAGTAAACATGAATTTCGGTTTCTTTCATAGAGTGGATTTTTTTTGTCGTGTTTCAGGTGATCCTCGTAGCGTGTGTGGCCGCGGTGGCTCTGGCCGATAAGGCTCCCGTGTACCATCAGCCACCTGTTTACGCCGCACCCACGTACCATGCCCCTGCACCCTACAAGCAGCCTGAATACCCTACCGTAAGTATACCAGTATAGGTGGCTCGGCAATGGTCTTCCTTGCCCGATTTCTAAACATATTCATAAGAAGTTAAACAGGTTCATGTTCCTGTGTGACAATGGTCATATTTGCTTATGACTTGGATTTAATGTTATTCTTGCTCTGAGCAGGCACCACCCAAGTACAACTACAATTACGGCGTCGCCGACGGCTACTCCGGCGTCAACCTCGGCCACTCGGAGTCCCGCGACGGCTACAAGACCGAGGGCAGCTACACCGTCGACCTCCCCGACGGCCGCAAGCAGATCGTCAAGTACGTGGACAACGGCGACGGTTATGTAGCTGAGGTCACCTACGAGGGCGAGGCTCAGTACCCCGAGTACAAGCCCACCTATAAGCCCGCTCCCTACCACGCTGCCCCCAAGTACCCCGTGTACTAAGAGTGTACAGGATACTTTCACTGATGCAACTTGTTAATATTTCCCATCGGTTGGACGCACACGACCGAATGAAACAGGATAGTAACTTGTGATCATAAATAGATTATTTATTTTTCGAAGATATAATAAAAGAAAAAATATAAGAAAGACTTTAAACGAACCATAAACCAAAACCGCTAACAATTAAAAAAAAAGGAAAGAAAAGAAATCAAATATACATATACATAAACAGTCACAACAACGCAATTAATACAATAACAACGCTCCATAACATCAGAATCTTATCTGTTAACTTAAATCATGTTTATGTCAGCCTCATAACTTATCAGATACCGTAGCTGTCAGACTGTATAATGATGAAGATATTTCCTGCCTCATCAGTTATTCATCTCAATCCGGACACGCCTCATCAATTATACATTTCGTCAGTGTATAATCGGTCTCCCACGTTGATCGGATTTTAATGGGATGTGTCAGGGAATCATATCTTCATTCTTCATGGCCAGTTTTTTCTCTCTCAATGTTTGGATTTCTGTGTTCGATCAAAATACAGTTGATATGTTTTGAGAGATTTTCTTTATTCTGTATCACTCGCTTTGCCTTTTTCTCTGTTATTTTCTCTATTCCTTTCTCTTCTGACGTAGATTCTCTCTTTCCATCTCTTTCTCTCTCCGTTTCTCTCCATCTCGCTCTATTTTTCACTCCCTTAGCCCTCCCCTCTTCCCTTCCTCTGTCTCTGTTTGTCTGTCTGTCTGTCTGTCTCTCTGGCTTTTGTCTTCACCCTCTATCTTTTTTTCTCGAGAGAAGTAGATAGACGGCATGTGGGGAAAAAAGACGCATACCAAAAGCAATAATAATGAATGTTAAATTAAAAATAATAATAGAATAGAAATAAAATATAAAATAAAATGAAATAAAAGGCGGTAAATAGATACGCAGTAAGATAACACAGAGAGGAGGCAAAGGGAGAGATTTCTTTGATTATTGAAATTCTTTTATATCGACCAATAATTAATTTCTTGAAGACTATAATTTTTTTGTCGTTTAAGTAGTTCGAATTCAAGCCTTAAGTAGATGATGTTCATTTATCAATTTTTACAAAGTAGCGTACATACATGGCGCGTGGTAGAGAGCGGACCTGTAGGCGGGCGTGTGCTCAAGGTACTGAGCCTCGCCCTCGTAGGTGACCTCAGCTACATAACCGTCGCCGTTGTCCACGTACTTGACGATCTGCTTGCGGCCGTCGGGGAGGTCGACGGTGTAGCTGCCCTCGGTCTTGTATCCGTCGCGGGACTCAGTGTGGCCGAAGTTGGCGCCGGAATAACCGTCGGCGACACCGTAGTTGTAGTTGTACTTTGGTGGGACCTGGTGAGATGAAAATTAATCAAATCATCAAAGGCACTAAATTTGGCACACTACAAGTTGACCCCCATTGCAATAGGGTATTCTGGCTACTCAGAAGGGACAGGAAAAGGGTACTCAGATGTCAGAACATGGTACAAGTGTGCGGAATATAGAAAGTGCTGGTGGTACACGGAATGGTACACCGTGTAAGCCAGAGCCACCGCGGGTAAGCCTTATGAGAAATATACGAATTAGATTCCTGTAATGTAGGAAACACAATTTATTCACACATACACACTCACAGGCACACACACACACACACACACATATACACACACATGTATATATATATATATATATATATATATGTATATATATATACTTTCTATAAACACACACAGCACACACAAATGGCTATATCTATGTAGAAACACACACATACATATATATATACATATATACAGATATATGTATGTATATATGTATGAGTGTATGGTGGGCACTCGATCTCACAATCTATATATTTGTGTGTATGTGTGTAACTGCTTGTATATACACACATATATTAGGCATCTCTGTCTGTCTGCTGTCTGTATATTATCAAGTTTACAGAACTTTTTTTTGTTTTTTGAACTTTGGATAAAAATAAAATATCAAGCGCATGGCATGTGATTTATATTAGCCTTAACTAACTGTATGTGTGTGTGAATATGTTGAATTTGTTATTGCAAATATTGGATGATAAAAGATAAGTTCTGATACATTACAGTTCATACGTTTTTTTTCTGATAACATCTCTCTTTGGTTTTAGGGAAAGCCTGTACTTTATATCCAAAATATTTTATTGTCGAAAATATAATATACCATATCACATATTTCAGGCTCCTCCGTGTGCTCCTGTGATGTGCCTGGATATACGCCCTTAGTACACGGGGTACTTAGGGGCAGCGTGGTAGGGAGCGGGCTTGTAGGTGGGGGTGTACTCGGGGTACTGAGCCTCGCCCTCGTAGGTGACCTCAGCTACAAGACCGTCGCCGTTGTCCACGTACTTGAAGATCTGCTTGCGGCCGTCGGGGAGGTCCACGGTGTAGCTGCCTTCGGTCTTGTAGCCGTCGCGGGACTCAGTGTGGCCGAAGTTGGCGCCGGAGTAGCCGTCGGCGACGCCGTAGTTGTAGTTGTACTTAGGTGCTGCCTGTAGAAAGAATGAATAAAAAAAATAAAAATAAGGGGCTGAAAACTTGATCATATACTGTCTCTGATGCATTTGTATTTTGATGCTGAATGGAACATGGAGTATACAAAAAGAATTTTATAT